CGACACGGAAGGTATGACCTCTGTGAGGTGGGAACAGCAGAGGAGAAGCGAGAGAGAAAGCAGCAGAAGACGTACCTGAAGCAATAATGACCAAAAATCCCCTAAACTACCGTCAGACACCAAACCACCACCCCAGGAGGCTCAGAGAACACCAAGCAGCGTAAGTGCAAAAATCAACTACATCATTTCCAAACTGCAGAAAATCAGAGATAAAGAAAAAAATCCTGAATGAAGCCAAAGGAAAAAACCACCTACCTACACAGGACCACAGACAAGAATTACACCAGCTTCTCCTCAGAGAGGAGAGCAAAATATTTAAAGTGTTGAGAAGACAAAACCTGTCACCCAAGAATCTTATACCCTGCAAAATTATCCTTCAAAAGTGTAGGGAAAATAAAGACTTTCTGAGACAAATAAGTATTGAGGGAAATTTTTGCCAGTAAACCTGCTTTGCAAGAAGGTCCTTAGAGAAAAGGAAAGTAATATAGGTCAGAAACTTTGATCCATATAAAGTAAGGAAGCAAAATGAAGAAGGAGTAAGTGGAGGTAAAATAATAACTTATTTTTCTTATTTTTAATTGATTTGGCATAATGGTTTGTTCAAAATGATAATACCAACAATATATTTGATTATGGGGCACCTGGGTGGCTCAGATGGTTAGGCGTCTGCCTTCAGCTCAGGTCATGATCCCAGAGTCCTGGGATCGAATCCCGCATCGGGCTCCCTGCTCAGTGGGGAGCCTGCTTCTCCCTCTGCTTCTCTCTCTCTCTCTCTCTCTCTCTCTCTGTCTCTCATGAATAAATAAATAAAATCTTTAAAAATATATATATATTTGATTATGCTTATGCATGTATTATATACATAAACATAAACATACACATCATGCTTATATACATATGTAGTATATAAGCATATATAGAAACACATTTATATGAAATAATTAACTATGGTTTTATATTTATTTTTTTAAAGTAAATCCTGACTTCATTTATTTATTTATTTTTTAAAAGATTTTATCCATTTATTTGACAGAGATAGAGAGAGAGCACGCGCACAAGTAGGCAGAGAGGCAGGCAGAGGGAGCGGAAGAAGCAGGCTCTCTGCTGAGCAGGGAGCCCGATGCGGGACTCGATCCCAGGACCCTGGGATCATGACCTGAGCCGAAGGCAGCTGCTTAACCGACTGAGCCACCCAGGCACCCTATGGTTTTATATTTAAAGTGGGATTTCTGGTAGATAGCAGATAGTTGGTCTTGCTTTTTTTTATCCAATTTAAAAATCTCTGTCTTTTGATTTTGATGTTTAGACCTTTTACATTTAATGGAAGTTGTTGATATACTGAGGTATAAAATACCATCTTGCTGGTTGTGTTCTATTTGTGCCATCCGTTCTTTTTTCTCTTTCTCTTCTTTTCAGGTTTAGTATTTTTAATTATCCCATGTCATCTCTACTTTTGGCCTCATCGGTTACACATCTTTTCAAAGTGGATTGGTCGAGAGTTTATAATTTACACCTTTAATAGAACACGATCTACCCCCAAATGCTATTATGCCGTTCCTCTGCAGTGTCGGGACTCTACAGCGGTGTACTTCCATGTCACATCGTCTGAGGGGGTGTTGTCTCCTTTACCTCCTCACATGTGAAGAACCCCCAGTGCATTGTGATGGTGTCTGCTCTAGACAGTCGATTATCTTGTAAAGCTTTTTATATTGAGCTTCTTTCTAGAATCATTTCTAGAGACATTTTTCTCCTTGTGTACGTCAGGTTTCTCTCTGCTCTCCCAATCAGTGGCTTGAAGAAATTTTCTTAATATTTCTGGTAGTGCATGTCTGTGGTTGGTTAATCTCTCCCAGTTTTTGTTCATCTGAGCGAGTGTTTATTTCACTTTAATTTTTACTTATTTTTTTTTAAGATTTTATTTATTTGAGAGAGAAAGAGAATGAGCAAGAGAGACAAGCTTGGGGGGTGGGTGAGAGGCAGAGGGGGAAGCAGGTTCCCTGCTGAGCAAGGAGCCCAATGCAGGGCTCGATCCCAAGACCCTGGGATCATGACCTGAGCCGAAGACAGACGCTTAATGGACTGAGTCACCCAAGTGCCCCTCACTTTAATTTTTAAAGATACTTTCTTAAAACCTTCATAGGGTTGACAGATTTTTTTTTTTTTAGTATCTTAAAGATATCTTTCCATTGTCTTTTGAATTGTATGCTTTCTAATTAGACTCTGAAGAAATTCTCATCTTTGTTATATATGGAGCATGTCTTTTTCATGCAGATGCCTTCAAGATTTCCTCTTCTCTTTTGGTTTTATAGTCGGACTTTAATGATGTATCCAGGTCATTATTTTTTGTAGGAGTCAGGGGCTGATTTATCCTACTTGAGGTGCTCTGAGCTTCTTGGATCTATCATTTTATGCCTTTCATTATTTTTAGAAAGTTCATAAATTTTAAGAAATTAAATATTTCTTCTCTCTTATTCTCTTTCTCCTGTTTTTCTGGGACCTTAATTACATTCATTAGTGATGATTTAATATTGTCCTAGAGTTCTTTGATGTTTTATTCTTGTTTTTCCCTCTACTATTTTTCTCCTTGAGTTTTAATATGGACTATATCTATTTACTTATCTTGAAATTTAATGATTCCACACTTGGCTGTGTCAAGTCTACTGATGAGCCCATTGAAAGAATTTATTTTTGATATTGTATTTTGATTTTTACATAATCTTTTTGACTCTCTCTGCTGAAATTCTCCATCTGTTCATACATGTAGTCCATGTTTTACCCTTGATTATTTAACTTATTAATCTTAGTTATTTTATTTGTTTATTTATTTGAAGACTTACATCCCCCACATGATTCAATGCTTTAATCCATTCTGAATGTAACTGTTATTCTAAATTTAACATTTATCATTCCTATGCTTTTATTTATGAATTTACCACACATGTCCCCCCAATCATTTAGCACATCTTTTAACTTCTCTTACATATTTGCTACTTTTTAAACTCTTTTTGGGGCATTCAGGATATTTTCTTGGGATCTGCCTTCTGATTTCTCTAATTCTCTCTTCTGCTATGTCTAATGTTCTCTTTAAGTTTTCAACTAAATTTTTAATTTTTATTACTTGACTTTTTTTTATTTCTAGGAGTTTTCTTTGTTTCCCTCAAGTCTGTTTGTTTCTTCTATTTTAATAGATTCTCACTCTGTTCTCATATTTATAGTTCTTTTATTTCTTTAAACATATTAACTTGGTGTTTTTCTTTTATAGAAATGCTGTACATTACATTCCCCAACTCATTTGTCTTATAACTGGAAGTTTGTAACTTTTGACCACCTTCACCCATTTCACCCACCCCCTGCCCCCACCTCTGGAATTATTATTATTATTATTATTATTATTATTATTATTATTTTGATTCCATATATAAGTGAGATCCTACAGTACAGTTGACCCTTGAACAACGTGAGTTTGAATTGCATGGATTTTTTTTTTAAAAGTACAGTACTGTAAATGTATTTTCTCTTCCTTATAGTTTTTAAATAACACTTTCTTTTCTCTAGCTTACTTTATTGTATGACTACAAATATAATACATGAACATACAACATAAGTGTTAATTGACTATTCATGTTATCAGTAATGATTCTGGTCATTAGTAGGCTATTAGTAGTTAAGCTTTTGGGGAGTAAAAAGTTATATGTGAATTTAAAATTTATATGTGAATTGCAGGGGGTCAGTGCCCCTAACCCCCACATTGTTCAAGGGTCAACTGTATTCACCTTTCTCTAACTTACTTCACTCATCATAGTTATTTTACTGTTTCTGTCTGATAGCTCTAACATCTGGGTCATTTTTGAGTCGAGTTTTGTTGAGCTTTGAGTCCAGCTTTGTCCCTTGACAATAGATTGATCTTTTTTCCTTGCTTTTTTGTATGTCTTCTAATTTTTTATTGAATATCAGATATCATGTATTAATTGAAATGGACATAAACAGTGTTTCCTCTGGGAAATGGGTAAGTCTCTTCTGGCAGGTCATCATTGTGTTAGGGGAAGTTTGGATCAACCTGCTCAGATGTTGACCTTGGTTTGGGTTTTGCTGTTTTTGTGATGACCTTCAAGGTACCTAAGACTTTGGATTCCTTTGTGGTGGGTTTCCAGGCATGAACTTCAGGCCAGGGCTAGAGGCACAGTACTTTTGCTCTGCCTTAAGTTTTCAGCTCTCTCTGTGTGCCTGGTACATGGAGGGGACCTCTACACAGGCCTGCCTCCCCCCAGGGATTGCCATTGCTCCTGCAGCTGTACCAGCCAGGCTGAGCTGGGGCCAGGAGGGCTCCATTGTCCTATCCCAGGGTCAGTCTTGAGCAGGCCCTATGTGCCTGGATCTTGGAGGGTGAAGCTTTCTCACTTCCTGAGAAAGGGAATGGCCAGACTTCCTGGCAATGGCCAGACTCCACTTTGTAGTTGGGGTGGGTCTGCGTGAGCTTTCTCTGCCCTCCCTGTTGTAGCGCTCCAATTCCCATCCCCTGTTCAGGGCAGGCAGTTTTTCCTCTGCCCTTCCCCAACGACAAATGAGCCTCAGGTGGTGGATGTGGGGAGGACACCTTCCCCCTGCACCCTCCAAGAACCGCCCACCTCCAGCTGAGCAGTTGGAGAGAGGGCTCTTTGAGGAGGGGCTGCTCTGCTTATGGTTGCCTATGTCTTCAAGAAAAGAACTTCAAAATACATGAAGATAAACCAGAGGGACAAGCTGTATCAGGAAAGCACGGTTTATTTGGCTCACACAGGGTGGGTTCCCTGCTGGAGACAGAGGACCCTGGAAACCAGGGCCTCCCAGAGGAGACACAGAGGGATCCAGATCATCCTGCTACATCCTTGCCACAGGCTTCAGAGGGTCCGTTGGGCATGTTCTTCATCGGCCCTGTGCAGAACCTGGAGGCCACTGAAGACTTGTTCCAGGAGGGGAGCAGGTGTGGCCCCCTGTGCCCTGGGAGCAGCTGGGTGGGAGGCTCATGGCCAGAAGCAGGACGGGGTGCTACAGGAGATGGGTCTGCAGAGCAGGGTGGGGCAGGAGGGCTGGCAGCCCCCAGAGGACTGGCAGGAGGGGGCCATGAGCACGAGGGGCTTGTAGCTCACGGGCAGGCAAACCGAGGACTGGCAGGAGGGGACCACGTACACGGCAGGCTTGCAGCTCACGGGCACGGACACGGTGGGCTGGCAGCTCATGGGCACATAGCAGGATGCCTGGCAGGGGCTGGGGGTGCAGCAGGACGCCTGGCAGCCCGTGGAGCAGCTGGTGGAGCACATGGTGGCGCGGGGCTGGAGTGGAGTCAGGGAGGAGGGCGGTGATGTCTGGAGGCTCCTTCCCCGGGCGGCCTTTATACCCGAGCTGTAGGCGTCCTGGCAACACAGAAGCACAACTGTTGACTTCCTCATAGTTGTTTCCACCATGTTTCCCCCAACATCTTGTGGGACGCACTCTTCTGTGTTATGCTCCACTATAATACATTTAGCTTAGAGGCCAATTTCTTCTTCTGTAAACAGGATCTTCTGGTTTGCCTGTGCGTGGGGTTCGTGCTATTTCTCCAGGCAGTAATGTGCACACAACACCACGCTCCACTCAGTACCGCGTCCCTTATTCCTTTTTGTCTCATGCCTGTCAGTGGTGACTTTGAGGCAGTGATGCATTCTGAGCTTTTATTTTGCACAGGAAAACATTAAACTAGGGATCTGTAAACTGGGAAGCAGGGAAGTCTGTGGGACAAATCTGGCCTGCTCCTTGTTTTGTAAATAAAGTTTTATTAGAAACAGCCATGCTCATTTGCTTACGCATTGTCTAGGGCTTGCACTATAATGCAGAGTGGTTATGAGAGAGACCATGCCCCTGCAAAGCCTGAAATATTTACTATCTTCCCTTTATAGAAAGGTGACCAACTTCTGCCACCTAGTAATCTATACAATAATTGATTTGTTCATGCAACAGATATATATTGTGTGCTGGCTACAGAGACGTCCTAGCCTCATGAGCCTTGTGGGACAATGAATAAACAAGAGGATGAAAGTTAATGCATGAAATGACTCCAGAGCGGTCTGAGTCCCGGAAAGGAAAACAGGTTCAGCACGTAGAGAGGAATAGGCGTGCTGGCGAGTGGTTTGGGGACCTCTGTGTGGAGGCGATGCTGAGCTGGCATGTGGGTGACGTGGATGGGGCAGAGGTGGTGTTCCAAGCAGAAGCAGCCGTGGGGGCATGAGGACACTGCTGCAGAAATGGGCGCGTTCCTGGAACAGTGGGAAATCCTGCAGTGTGGGTGCTGGGCTGCCGGTGCAGGTGGACAAGTGCAGACCACACAGCTTGAGTCCAGGCATCATAGTCCCGGGCCGATAGAATAAGAAAGACTGTCAATATGACAGACACATCAGTAGGAATTACCCAATCTGAAAAAAAGAACAGAACTGAGAATCATGAAGACGGTCTATGGACAATATCAGGAAGTCTAACCATAAGCAATTTTAACCCAAGAAGGAGAAGAGAATGATATTGAAGTGTAACAAATGGACAAAATGCCCAGTTTTTTTTAAGTAGACTCCATGCGCAACGTGGAGCCCAATTCAGGGCTTGAACTCACTACCCTGAGATCAAGACCTGAGCTGAGATCAAGAGTCAGATGCCCAACCGACTGAGCCACCCAGGCACCCCCCCAGATTTGTTTTTTTAAATTCTAACTTACCGACCCAAGAGTCTCGGAAAACCCCTAAAGCCCCAGCATAATTTGGCACAATGGTAAAGACCACAGACTCCAGAGTGAAACTGAGCAGCTTCAAATTCCTGCTTCTTCACCCCAGTGGTGAGAGCGCACAAACATCATGGAATCTAACTGCGCCTCCATGTAAGTGGGGTATCACCTACCCCTTGGATGGCGGCAAGGATTGGTGACTAGTCAGCGAGGAGCTGATCCAGGTAAAAGGCTTAGCATGGTGCCCGGCACAAAGCTGGGACTGGTTGACATGGTGGATGACATGGCCACAGCTGTCCCCAATGAGGAGCCCAGCTGCTTGGCTCTGGTCCATTGGGAAGACCTTCTGGATCACAGAGTTTACAAATCAAAACGGGGGACCCCTGGTCTGGCGAGAAGATTAGTGCTTATGTGGACAGAGGACAGGGTATGTAAGCTTGGGGAGGACCTTGAACATCCTGATGTGGGGTCTCCTATCCCCAGCTGATGCTCCTTCACCATCCAACCTGGGCTCTGAGTCCAGAAATCACAGGGCTGCTGGGTCACACTGAGCCTCCAGCTGTTGCAGTTTCCTGAACTTCCCCCAGAAACTCCAGGAAGAGACGCACAGAGGAGGAGGAGGAGGAAAACAATCAGGCAACCAGGAGGAAGGCACCTGTGTGGCTTGTTGCCAGGATGCCACAGCCCGGGTATAAAGGCTGCCTGGGGAAGGAGCCTCCAGACCAGCCCTGTCCTCCACCCTGACTCCACTCCAGCCCCACACCGCCATGTACTTCACCAGCTGCTCCACGGGCTGCCAGCAGGCCAGCTGCACCCCCAGCCCCTGCCAGACGTCCTGCGGCGTGCCCAGCTCCTGCCAGACATCCTGCTGCGTGCCCAGCCCCTGCCAGACGTCCTGCTGCATGCCCAGCCCGTGCCAGACGTCCTGCTGCATGCCCAGCTCCTTCCAGGTGACCTGCTGCACCCCCAGCCCCTGCCAGACGTCCTGCTGCGTGCCCGTGACCTGCAAGCCTGCTGTGTGCCTGCCCATGACCTGCAAGCCTGCTGTGTGCCTGCCCATGAGCTGCAAGCCAGTTGTGTGCCTGCCCGTGAGCTACAAGCCCATTGTGTATGTGGCTCCCTCCTGCCAGTCCTCTGGGGGCTGCCAGCCCTCCTGCCCCACCCTGGTCTGCAGGCCTGCCCCCTGCGGCACCTCTAACTGCTGCTGAGCCCATGGCTTCCTAGGACCCCTCCTCCGTGCGGTCAGAAGTGGCTGCTCTCCGAACTCCTACCAGGCAGCCCAGACATCATCCACTTCAGACCTTCTGGACCCGACTGACCATCTTACAGCTAACCAGGTGGAGAGAGTCGCCCCTAGTGTCCCTGGCCCTGACCTGGGCCATTCACCCAGCACCCACCTGGCTGGTGCGGAGTGCCCAGGCTCTGCAGCCACCCACACAAAAGTCTATTAAATCCCAGAGTGCATTAGAAGTCCACCCGAGTGTGTGCGGTGTCTCTCCCTTAGTGCCTTTCCCTAAACTGCTTCCTCCAGGGGGAGCTCCCAGAATCCAGGAAATCTCCCTCTGCAGAGAAGCCACAGGTTACCAGATGGCCGTTCACAGGGCGCTGACCACTCAGAGGTGGCCTCTTGGGCGTGTGGGCGCTCCTAGCTCAGCCTGATGGGCCCCAGGGCTTCCTTTGTCCCACTTTGTCCCTTGAACCAGTGAGGTTATTTCTTACTCTGCTGGGTGGCACTGAGGGCGAATCCCTAACTTTCTGATCTGACCCTTTTTAGGTAAAAAAGTCTCCTGCTCAGCAATTAATATGCGGAGCCAACCTGGTCTAAAAATTAGAAGTGTACTCTTCCTAGAAGAGTATACCTCCTCCTCCCATTTGGGGGGACAGGGCTTTGTGGGTAACTTCCGTGGCCCCAGAGATGTCCACTTCCTCATCCCCACAACTGGTGGATACAGCCCTACAGGCGAGGTGGCTTCCCAGATGGGGTGAACTGAGGGTCTTGCAATGGGAGCCGTCCTGGATTGGCCGGGTGGGCTCGCGTCATCCCAGGGATTTGGGAGAAGGGAGAGGAAGGGCTGCCACGGAAGAGGAGGCCGTGGGAAGCGGGACACCGTACTGCGGGTTTGGAGCACCATCCCCTCCGACTCATTCTCTCCTTGGGCAACGGTAGCCCGCTGACCGTGTAGACGCCTCATCTATGAGCAGTTCAACTGACCGTGTAGATGCCCCACGGAGCAGGTGGCGCCGCTGGCGGCTGGGAGGGACAGTGAGCAGGTTGGGCGGACGCTCCGGGAGGACCCAGCCTGGCCACAGCTTGGTTTTAGCCCCTGAGGCCTGCTTCAGACTCTGGCCTCCGAGCCGTCAGAGTCCGCGGGTGCTGCTGCAGCCACCGAGTGTGCGGTCTGTCTCCGTGGCCACGGCACAGACCCAGCCTCTGCCGCACAGCCCCGGACGGCCGCCCTCCTGTGTGCTCCTGCGGGGAGCCTGCACTGTTCCGGGCCGGGAAACCAGACCTGCCCCTGACAGCGCGGCCTTAGCCCCTGTGGTGTGGCCATGGGCCACCCAAGAGCAAGGGCGCTGGGGCCGCCCCGGAGATGGGCGGGAGGCACACAGAGAGGGCACGCTCATCAGCACAAGGGAGCCGAGGCACACCAGGGTGCCAGGGGGGAGCTGCGTGAGAACCAAGAAATAGTCTAAGAGGAGCGCCTTCGAGGGGGTCCTCCCTGCAGCAGGACCACATATCCACGTATCTGGAAACATCCATTATTGTGAGGTCACGGGTTATAAGGATGGGAAATTCAGGAGGGACTCTCGGAGCACCTCCTATGCGCGGGTCTTCCTCATGCTTGGTCCCATGCAGACCCCACCGCCGGCCACCGGTCTCACCATCACGGGTGTCCAGCCACTGCGCGTCACGTCCTGGCCTTGCAGACACCCTCCCTCCAGGCACCCCCGCGGCCATGGCACCAACCACCAGACAGTGGGGGAGGCCTGCCCCGTCTCCTCAGTGATGCCTCTGAGGGCTGTGACCATCCCAGTCTCAGGCATGATGGGTGACGGGGCGTCCGGGTCCGGGGGCTGCCCACAGAAGGGCTCACTGAGATCCGACAACTTAACATTGTCGCTGCATTGTGAACACGCGTTAAAGAAGCTTCCCAAAGTAAAGACACCCGTCACCTCTGACTTCACCATCTCCACTGCTGGGCAATGGTGGCCGGCTGACCGTGTAGACGCCCAGCTGGAGCAGTCCAGCTGACTGCATAGACTGCTCCTGTCTGTGAGCAGTCTGGCTGACCGTGTAGACACCCGGCCTGGAGCAGTCCAGCTGACTGTGTAGACACCCTGTCTGTGAGCAGTCTGGCTGACTGCGTAGACACCCTGTCTGTGAGCAGTCTGGCTGGCTGCGTAGACACCCGACTGTGAGCAGTCTGGCTGACCGTGTAGACACCCAGCCTGGAGCAGTCCAGCTGACAGCATAGACACCCTGTCTATGAGCAGTCTGACTGACTGCGTAGACACCTGACTGTGAGCAGTCTGGCTGACTGCGTAGACACCCTGTCTGTGAGCAGTCTGGCTGACTGCGTAAACACCTGACTGTGAGCAGTCTGGCTGACCGTGTAGACGCCCGGCCTG